GGGGGGGGGGAGAAACCCCCAAGCAGCACAGGGCAGCGGGGGGGTGGGGGGTATCAGGGTCTGGGCTGTGGCTGCTGGGGCTGTCAGCCTGGAGATATCCAGGGTATCCAGGGGTCTAATTTTTTGTTTCCGCACATGCCTGTTGCCCCACCTCAAAGGGGTTTGAGGCAGGGCAAGAGGCACATGGACGTTCATCTGGATGCACCCTGATAGAGTCATTTCTGGTTGGGAGGAATACCCAACCAGAAATGTTTAGTTCAAATTAATTGTAAATGGGGCTGGTGGAATTTTATGACCATGAAGAAAGGTACACAAAGTGCACAGGAGGCACAAATATAAATCTTTATGCTCTTTCTAGCCTCCCTCCAGTTTTTAGATCCTGTTCTACTGCTAGCCACAAGATGATTGATCCCTGTTGGTGTGACAAGAGGCAGAAATAGAAAGGAAGAAAGAGAAGATGAAGAGGATGACAACACTTCCTTCAGGATTCTCTCAACAACTGAACTATTATGCATTATAATTATAGTTGACTTTCATCCTGATTTATATAGACTTATAATATAATAACAGGTAATATTAATAATAGGAATCAACAATAATGTTAATTCCAATAGTAATATATTAATAAGAGTTTGTAGTAATAGTAATATTAATGAAGATTTATTAATGGTCAATAATAATTGTAACAGTTCAATTCCTTATCACAGCATTTCAAAGCGGGTAGATCTGCCTTATCACCCTGCACACATCACACTCATCCTGGGCCTCCACCACATATATACAGCCAATGTATGATACATTCTTGTTATATAGACTTATAATTACAGTTTGATTCCTTATAATGAGAAAGCAGATACTGAGCATAAGGAGGTGATTATGTGCCTTCCCTGCCCTTTTCCCCATGTGGGGGGAGGAAATACCCACCTCCTGGTTCAAGCTCCTCCCTAGGTCCCTCTATTCCCATGGATAAGAGTTATATACCCTTCTGCTTTACATACTACCCTTACTGAAGTTGTATTACTTCCTCCTTCTGACTGTGGGCAACAAGGACTGCTGAGGCTTCTCTTCTGTGCACTACTTGAATTGTGGAGGATTTCTTCACAGGCTTTGGCCTGAACATCAGCTTGACTATAGTAATATTTGCACAAGTTCTGCAGATCCATTTCCTATTATTTTAGCCCTCCTTCTGGTTGTTGGCCCTGTTTGCTAATGAGCATATTATGGAATTGTAATAAGAATGTTGTTGCTGGCCCCAAATGCGGAGGCTTTCCTCTTGGTTGCTGCCCAAGACCTCCAGCAAATTCCCTCCTGGGGTCCAGGTAGTAGTCCCAGGCCTGTGGGCTCTTTGCCTCACTTGCCCACCTCTGCACCTCTCCATTGCACCCTTGTAACTTCTGAATCATTGCTGACCACAAAGGAAGCTGTGCTCCTGAGCTATGACCACTGCAGTGGCAGAAGCTGAGGCTTCTTCACTGGCTTTGGCCTGAGCACAGCTCAATTTGCACAAGTTCTGTGGGCCCGTTTCGCATAGTCTCCTTGCCCTCCTCCTGTTTACCGGGCATGTCCTGCATCAGTACAAGCCGGACAAGTTCTGTAAGCACATTTCATTCATTACTGCAGAGCGCTTGGGTTGCAGGAGGGGCCTTCCACTAAGGAAGCCAAGGCTTGAGTTTCTTTTCTGAATTCTGGAGGTCTTCTTCTTGGTTGCTGGCCAAGATCTCTGGTGATTGGAAAGTAGGCTCTTCACCCCACTTGCCCACCTCTGCCTTACACCTCTCCATTGCACCCTAGTACATTTTGAATCATTGCTGGCCACAAAAAAAGCTGAGCTTTCTTCACTGGCGTTGGTCTGAGAATCAGCTCAATTTGCACAAGTTCTGCAGGCCCATCCCATAGAGTGAGGAGTGAAGGAGGGTAAGAAAGAACACACAGCAGCATCTACTGGCTAAAGGCTGGAACACAGCGCCCCCTCATGGTGAAGGGGATTAATTAGAAGTCTTTGGAGTCTCTGGTTGTTTGCACAAACAAATCCACAGTTGGAGTAGTGTAACTGGAGAGTGCAGCAAATTAACACATCTCTTAGTAGTGCTAGTTTAAGGCACTAAATGGACTTTAGAGTGGCGGGAAATCCTGGGTCATGCAAACACAAATGCAGCTGGGTTGATGTAAATATGAAGTATTGTTTCATCTACACACGCCCTAAGTCTCAGTTTTGTGATGTCCTTATCTTAACAATGACCTTCATGGATGGAAAAGTCAGACTGATAATGTAGGTCAAGTCCCTGGGAAAGTGGTACATGAAGAAAGAATGGCATGTTGAATTCAAAAGTTTCTTGTCTTAAAATATATTTATTTCTGATTTATTACACAACAATTTTTTTTACCTCCAATTCATGCTTTTTTAATGCATTTCTAGAAAATAGACTCTTGAGCTTTTTACTTTGACAGATATAGCAGGCAGAACAGTCAATAATTTGTTATTCATATAATTTCCTGGGATCCTTTGGGAGTTCAGCACAAAATTGTCCTGCAGAGTATTCTCTAAATAAAAATAAACTGTGTGTTTTGTAACAAATACAAAGATTTAAACTTATTTTATGAAAGTTACTTCTGTTAGTGTAACTATATCACAGCAAATGAATTTTTAGGCATTACAATGTTGCTTGTAATTTGATTTGTACAGTTTTGTACACTCTTTATCAGACTTGTACAGTCTGCTCATATCAGACAGTCTTGTACAGTCTTATACCAGACTCGTACAGTCTGCTTGTACCAGACTTGTACAGTCTGTTCAGTCTGGCAGACAGAACTATGGGACCTGCATTTCATTTGACCATGTGAATATTCAAAGTTAAGGGAGTGGTAGAAAACTCTTTATTGAAGTACATTGTATAGGTACCTCCAGTCAAATGGCTTTTGTGGGAACCAACCATATCAAGCTGATGTTTGTAAAGGAGTGAATGGATAAAGGACCTAATATTCTTCCAAGTGACTTCATCCTCACTGTAAATAGAGGACACCTCTGGCTACCACCAGTGTAAGACTTGCCATAGTAACTGTGGCTTGAAATCTACTGTACTATTCCACAGGAGTTAATTCAAGGCAGATCCACTTAATATGCCTTAATGTAGAGATCAATTTTAACACAAGAGAATCCATTTCGTTATTTTGATAGCATGGATGAGCAGAGATCTTTGTGCTGTAGTCTACTACTGGTATAGATAAGAGAGAGCTTATTGCTGGGACATTGCAACAAGATATTCTGGGAACACTTCCCTTCAGAGCTCGGTGATCTTCAGAACATGCTTGCCATGTCAGGCTGTAGGCAGTCAGGTCTGGGGATTGACTCAGAGTTAGGAATAGCAGCTAAGGTCCCTGGGGAATTTTCTGAGTCAGTAGGGAAGTCAGGAAGCCAGAACATCCATCTGAGGAACTGAGTCAGAGAACCAGAGGGTCAAGCAGAGTATGGGTCAGGAAGCTAGCTGGGTAAGGTATTCAGGAAATCAAACCAGGTTTGGGTAAGGCTAGTCCATAGACAAGCTGGGTCAGGTATCCACAGAGTCTGTTGGGAAGGCAGTAGCAATACAAGACAAGGATGCAGCAGCCTAAAACAGGATTAAACTTTGTTGCCCAGACACTTCCTCTTCCAGGTCAGAGGTTTATATTGGAAGGGGTGAGGAGTCAGCTGACCCTGGCTGGCCACTCAGGCCACATATGTCTGCTCTAAATGCTCTGCTGAGGAGGTGGCAGACCAGGGTGAGTGACTGTGCTGGGTAAGCTAAGGCCACAGCCTGGCAATGCTGTAAACATCCTGATTATGCTTTAAGAAGAGGCATCCTTGATTTTGGGGATCCTAAAACTGGGGAAGCTAGGGTAAGAGAATCTAGCTAAATTGCTAGTAGAAGTCTCTCTGTTTTTTTCAAAAAGCCAGAAGAGGCTGCACTAAAGGTACTATTTTCAGAGGTGTTCCAGGAGGTAATTTTATTGACATATAAGAATACAATGTCTTGGGAATTTTCCAACCATTGTCAGGCCCGGGGAAGGGGGGAATCCCAGTTCTTCTTTCTCCTGGATCTAAGACAGGGCTGAATTAACTCTAGAATAGTGTGTATTTGGTGTAGAACAGGCTTGTCCAACATACAGCCCACAGGCCTCCATGAGGCCCGCCAAGCCATTTTCTGAGGCCTGAGGTGCTGCAATGGGAAATGAAAGTAAACACTGTTTACTTTTGTTCCCACCCCTTGTCCCTTCCCTAGCCCCTCAGCAGCTTCCTAATGGCTGCTGAAGGGACAAGGTTCCTACATGCACCACGTCAGCTTGACGTTGCCAATGAGGTGCAGCTCCTCCCCTCCCCACTCATTTCAGTGTGTCCTTTCCTAGCCCCGGCCCTCCCTTCCTCATTTGCATGCTGTCCCTGCCCTGCACCAGTCCCTGCTGGCCACACAGGCTGGAGAAGGTCACAGTGCAGTGGGTGGGTGCAGGGGGCACAGATGCTGGCTTGGAGGGATGCTGTGGCTGGGCCCATGGGAGATGCTGCTGCCATTGTGGCTGTCGGGGTGGGAAGCTGGCACCGCTCCCATCTCCCCGCATCCCCCCACGCCTGCAGACATGGTGCTGGGGGTGGTGAGTCGTGGGCCCCAAGGAGGGAGGGACCCCTGCTTGTCAGGCTCGGGCTCGGGCTGCCCCGGGACAGAGGGAGCAGAGGGATGTCCCTGCATGTCCCTTACCTCCCTGTAGGGTCCCCGCATGTCCCCCTGGCTGCTGAGCCCAGGCACGCAGGTGTGGGAGCATCCTTGAGGCCACCCAGGTGGCAGGGAGGACACAGCGGGGTCAGGCAGCACCCCTTGACCCCTGCGGCCCCAGGCCACGGCCGGACTGGACAGGCCATGCGAGTGCGTGTTCCTGCCAGCCCACTGGGTGATAAAAAGTTCATGATCCAGCCCCACATTCAAAAAGGTTGGACACCCCTAGTGTAGAATATCTGAATTAAGAAGAACACCTCAACTGGAAGGTCTTTATGTCCAGCTCAAAATAATAGGATCTCATTCTCATTTATGCCAGGTTTAGCATAATGTTTGGTGGTAGAAGAAGGTAGCTTTAGCTCATCTTTGTACTCCATACTCTGAGGTCACTCAGAGTTCTGTCAATTCTCTAATACCAGAACTGTTTAAAGAGTTATATAGTTTGTGGTCTATTTTTATTTAGCTCTTCTGCTGGTTCTGAGAAGTAACTGTACCCAAGTGTCCTCCACCTTTGTCCACCTTCTTCCCTACATATTCTACCCCCCTCTCCTAAATAACTTTACATTGATAGCTAGTGCTGGGATTAGGGTAGGTATAAAACTCCTTCACTAGCTGAAGTTTTGGAATATTCCTTGAACAGCCAATATTCTGTTTCTGTTCTTTTAAAGGTCCCCCTTTGCCTCCTGAATTGTGCAAATAAGCCATAGGTGTTATTAACAATCAGCTAAACTTGAGGTGGTAAAATAGTCACTAATCGCACTTGATAAGAATTAGCAAACAGCTCATGTTTGGAGAAAGGTAACAGAATTTTTGTTGTTCACTAAATGATGGACTGTGAATCTTCTGCCCTGTAATTGGTAAGCAATTATTAATACGAGTAGTTCTATTGACTTTACAGTGAATAACTGTACTTTAAGAAGGATGTGGGCAGCATCGAGAGGGTCCAGAGGAGGGCCACTCATATGATCAAGGGACAGCAGGGTAGGTCTTATGAGGAAAGGTTGCGGGACCTGAACCTGTTCAGCCTTCAAAAGA